ATTTTTTAAAAAGTATTAATAGAAATACTAATATAATTACTGTAAATATTATTATTATTCACAGATAGTTATTTAGAATACCCTCTGTGCATCAATTCATGTTATACAATTTTTAATTGGAATTCAGGATGAAACTAAGCTGCAAATGTTGACACAATTCCCTGCCTACTCTGAATGAGAATATAATATTAAATCTAGTTAGGACTCATAATATTGATTTCTAGAAGTTTCCTGTAAAAATAATGGCATAATAAAATTGTAGCGTAGGCTTGTTTTTTAAATATATTTAATACTGCAATTTTCTGTTTCATTTGTAATACCCTTTTATTCTCAGTGAAATAAAGTCAGTGTAGCATTTTGCGGTCTAACATGATTTTGCTGACTGATGATATTAAATATCTAAGTCCGTATCCTTGTGCAGGAAGAGATGCAAATGCCTGGAGTCTGCATGCATTTTTTAATTATCCCTAATTCCACTGAGAATCAGGGAGATTCATTGGTTTCTATAAGAGCTAATTATTTTGATTTTAAAAAGTATTTTCATGTGGTCAAATAGCATGTGAATATCATGCCATTGTATTCACTATGACAGTGTATGGAGAAGACATGTCTATGTGTGAGGGCAGTTGATAATAGGTTTTTGTGTTTTCCTTAAATAATGTGTTTAACCACTGTATGTATAAATCACAGCCAGAGCTATGCATCATCACAAAATGGTCAACTTTAATCCCATGCAAATACATATTCTTTGTTTAAAACTCAATGGAGTTTATTCACTTGTCTTTCCATCACAACCTTATTTTCAATTCCCAACTCAGTAACATTTTAAAGGTTCTTTGGAGCAGAGGGGATTATAGGACTTCATCTCAGATATGTTCACCTTCCTTCCACCCTGGTTGAGGTAGTAAACTCTCCTCACATCTCCAGTAGTAAACTCTCCTCACATCTCCAGTCATCCTGGATATTCACCCTTCTCCGTAAATCCCCTTGACTAACCTCCTTCTCAACATGAACCAGAAAAGAGGGACTATTGTTGCAAATGTGGATAGCTCACCCTCCTCAGCCTCCAGGGTTTCCTTCAAAGGCATTGAGTGCTCATTGTGCTTCCATTCATTTTAGTTAGTCCACCAAAAAGCCCATTTCTGATAGGGAAGCACCATGATGACACCCCCTTTTTAAAACTGAGCTAACTGAAGATTAAAGAGGCTATATGACTTGCTTAAATTCACCCCTTTATGAAGAACCAACCTAGGGCCTCATGCAATCTTTTGCTCAGAGAGATTGTTTGGTCTCCTTAACTAACCATTCATCAGTTGAAACCCCACCATAAGAAACAACCAATGTTTGAGTGTTAAAAGTTTATTTTTTTTTTTCAAATAAATTGTACTATATTGATAATTTCTTTGAGAACCATCATATTGCCTACACATTTTTACTCTGCTTCCCCCCCAACAATATATTTTGAGCACATTTTGAACATACCATTTTTAATGATACCTATCAGACCTTCTGTTCATTTGCATGGTACACAATGATACTGACAAAGCAGGAGTGAATTCATAGACAGAACTACACACCCATTAAAGGTAGATAAAGACAGAAATGTAGAGCAGGTTCAACCTGCCAGAAGTCTTCCTCATGACTGCCCCAGTTAACATTCACCACCAAATGTAGCCACTATTCTGAAATCTATCACTATAGGTTAGTTCATTTTTATAAAGTACTAGATATTTCATGTAATACTTTATAAAATAACCCAGTATATGCTCACCTTTTTGTCTAGCTTCTTTTGCCTATGAGATTAATCTATCTTCTGTGTGTAACAGTATCACTGCATAAAATATTCATGTATCAGTTTTTGGTGTAACTCCTTCATGATGTATATATGTATTTGATGTAACTCCATGTCCATCCTTCAAGCTCCTCTCATTGTCCCCTTCTCCACAAAATAACTCCTAAATGCTTCCCCTCAACCATCATCATAAAATAACCTCTCAAGTATTTAACTGTGCCAGTATCATTCTAAATGTTTTATATATATATATATATACACCATTTTATTCATTTAATCTTATAAAGTAGGTATTGTTGTGGCTTACTAGTTCCAAGGTAGCAACAGGAGGTGCTGGGCTATGAAGAGGTTATATTTCTACAGCTTCTATTAAGATTTGGCTTGTCAGGAAGCAAGTCTGTAGCTCTCCCATTTGTATCATCTCCATCATGCCAGGCACATACTAGGCATGTGAGTAATACACTAAGCTTTGTACCTTGCATGCATGATATCACTTAACAGAGTTATTGAGGTATATTTATTTTACATTTGAGAAAATGAGGATAGGAGAAGTTAAGCCTTTATCTAAATTACACAAAGAGTAAATGGCAATGGAGAAGTCAGCACTGCTATACTCCCTGCCTCAAGGATACTCCTTGGCACTGTTCCTTTGAACTGCACACTACCCTGGGTCAGCCACAAACAGGAGTTTGCATACTCTACATGCATTTCAGATTCTGGTAAAATGTAAATGGTATTATTCAGGCCATCACCCCTCTGAAAGACAAGCTTCCAGATAAAGTTTGGAACTCTGCTCCAGGGAAAAACTAGCAGCATAGAAAACAGCAGTGTAGTACAAAAGGAGATCCACTTTAGTGGGGCCAAAAAAGTGAAACTACAGTTGGAATTCCCACCTAGTCATCACGGACAGCACAGTTGGCTTCCAGGCCCACATCTTGCCATTCCTTTAGCTGCATCTTCATATCCTTATCTACATGAACTCATCCATAATTGAATAAAGCAAGAAACAGCTACTGTGGTCAGCTTTTCTAAGGAGGGGGCTGGGAAGAGGGAAGAGAGGGTAGGGAGTAGGAGTAATTGGAGAAAGAGGGGGAAGGCAGGAAAGGAAAGAAAATTTAAAATTGCAGACAATTGTCAAAACCACTCAGATGGTTTTTTAATACTTACTTGGGGAATACTACTTATATCATTCCTCCTCTTATTTGCAAACAAAACAAGACACTGCCCACTGCTTTGTGTGTGTGTGTGTGTGTGTGTGTGTGTGTGTGTGAATGTAAGAATAGTGAATTATTCTCATGTAACAACTTTTCACTAAAAATGGGATATGACTCATCCCATGTGTCCTATTGCTCTTTAATCCTCTTTTTTAGAGCAGGGTTACAGTGGGAAGCCTCAGTTGGACCAGGGGCAGGTGAGAGCCTTCTCTGCTTCATGACACTCCCTCCTGAGCAATAGGAGCAATAGTAGGCACTGAGCTACAAAGAGGTTATATTTATATTTATACAGATTCTATTCAGACTTGGCTTATCAGGAAGTAGGTCTACAGCTCTCCCATTTGTATTGCTTTGAATAGACCTTTTCCTGACAGACTACCCTCTGCTCAGGGAACAAGCTGCACCTACAAGCATCTATAAGGCATACTCAAGACATACTCCACACCACTTTGATCCACATTAAAAGAGAATTATATTCAAAAGCTATGCCCTAGTGGAGATAGATTCTCCTTATTTCCCCAAGGCCTCTGACCCATTTAAATTGCTGCGGGGGAGACACACTGTCTGAAGAAAACAATCCAAACTTCTAAATGTTTACCCCACTGTGAATCTGATTTCTGCAGGAACCAGAAGCTCTCCAAAACTGAGTGTGTAGGAGTGTGTGATTGCACAGGGGATTCATATTTTTCTGAAATCCAAGCTAATATAAATGCAGCTGGGAAGGAGTAAGTTTGCACTCTTTTTATGAAAAGGTAACACATGACAATTTCTTTATATGCAACTGAGAAGTAAACAAACCAACTCAAGAACCGACTTTTATTTTTTATTTTTCCTTTTTTTTTTAAAAAAGATCTATTTACTTATGCATACCAGAAATGAGTACAGACCAGAGGTGCAGGGGGTGGTAAGATTCACCAGAGACACAGTAAGGAGCAGAATAGGCAGATGTACTGACATACATTGTTTAGGGGA